CTTTTGTTCAGAGTTGAAGCTAAACTCACCCAGCGACTTTTCAAACTTGTCATTCCAAAGGTCTCTCATAGCTTTAAGGTGGTTAAAAGGCAATTTTCAAAAGAGATTAGTAAGTGAGGCTTGTAAACTTAGTGCCCTTTAAAAGGCTTTGCCTTGTTGCGAGCTAGATTAATTTACCTCTTCAAAGAGAAACAACGATATTATACTATCTGTTCAGAGTAATTATTAAATACAGTGTTAATTGTTTCTAATAAACCAATCCTCTGAATAAATGAAAGACGGAATATAATCCCATATTATGCTACCAGAAAAAAGAATGGAGAAGAAAGGAGAATAAGGCCTGTGCACGCTTCAAAAATGATTCAGAAGTACTTTGGATCTTGCCATTCATGAAAACCACCTCTCCCCCGTACAGGCTTCTGCAGGGCTCTGAAAAAAAGTTGCAGCTATTTTAAGGAGCCAATTTAATGCGATACTTAAAGAGAAGCCTGAAAAAAATAGTTTTTAACAATTGAAAGAGAAGAGTTGGGCTCATTCTTGCGCAAGGTCTGAAGCGCTTCTGCCAAATAATTTTCAAAGTGAGCAAAAACCCTAGAGTTAATCTCAGGAAAGAACCTACATTTCTAAGATGTGAGATTTTTAAATTATATCCATTCATGCCTACATAAATTTAAACTATGCTGTTTCTGACCACATAAACTCATTTTTCCACAATGCTTTCAACTCCAGATTCTGTAATTCTACAGTAGCACAAAAAATAGCTAACTACTGTAAATAAAATGCAGTCATTGCCCTCATTTGCTCTCAACAGAAGTACATAACCCCCAGCCTCTATATGTCCCCCAGCACCTCAAGATTGTAAATTTTGAGCAGCCCGTTTTTTCCCTCCAAAATTAGGGGTGGGAGGTAGTGAGGGGAGTGGAGAGATTGTGGGGATAACAGCAGGTAAGTCATTTAACAACTTGTTTCATAAGCTGTAACTCAGCTCAGGTGAAGAGAAATCTGGGAAGAAGAGTTTCAAATCACTCACACTGCTTAACTAACTCACTAACTTGCTATCAGTGAGGCCAGGAAATTCCTATTACAGTTTCCAAGACTGATATCAACCCTCACATGGCTGGGCAAGATCAAGGAAGTCAGAACTATACAGATTTCAGTAAGGTAGCTTTAATGCTAGGGGTTTTTTTGGGGGGGGCAGGGAGGTGGATAAATACAGAATCTTGGATTTTATACAGAAATACAGAATATTATAAGAGGATTTTCTCACCTTCGTTAATAGTTAATTAAGGCGGAGTCTCTTGGAATATTTTAAATGCTTTTCTCCAGATTTTTCCTTGCTTGGGCTGGGTTGCTATTTGTGAGATAGGTTGCCAACAGCCTCACTTCCTCCTGCTCTTTTAAAATTATATATGTGTGTTCTCTTCTTCCTGTCCTTCACTTCCTGGTAATCTCTCACATCTGCTGAAAGGTACTATTCTGCAGTTGAAAGGGGGGAGGGCACAATTTTTGGCTTTTTTTCCCCCCGGGGAGGATTTAAGAATGAGAATGGAAGGTGTTTTTCTTCCCAAATGCCCAGATGATTCAGAAGTACTTTGACCACCCCGTCCCCCCCACACAAAGGCAAAAAATGGGGCAGAAAACATTCGTCCTGCCCCTTTCTGAGATACAGCCATAGCCTGCTGTCACTCTGAAAGATCAGGAGGCCAAGCTAACCCCTGAAGATCTTACTTACTCTTGCTTCAGAGGACCACAGAAAACCAAAGTTGGAGAAAATGGTGTATGTCCACAAGGTCTTGACCTTTTCAAACCATGATGTAGCCTTCTTCTCAGCCTTTCTTTTGAGGGAATGGAGCTGGCTGCTGCAATGGGCCTGGAAGTGGATTTTCTCTTCCCTCCCCAGAATAACTTCAGGATTATGGCATGTCAAAGTGCAGCTTCATTGCTAGGGCAGCCTGACCCAACAATGCCCCTGCCTTACTGTGACTATGGCCATTTTGTACCAGAGCCTACTTAAAAGAACAAAACTGATTGCTGGTGGATGCATGAAATGCTGGAAAAAGCTGCCTCTACCTGAAATGAGGTGGCCTCAGCAGGTAACAACACCTGGCTGACTGTCACTAGAAGAAAACTCTCAGGGGATCACAACAGTTATGGTGAAATGCCCCCATGAACTAATATGGCCTTTAGGTGGCACTGTAAAACCACAAAATGGACATGGCAAGACTCAAACGCTGTTTTTGCTGCCTCCTATTAATTACCACACCCTTCCCCAAAGCTTTTCTGAGTTTTGTCTTTATATCAGCTGTAGGCTGCTTGTCTAAGCTGCTTTTTAATCAAGTAAAATACCATTTAAAGGCTACTGAATGGACTGATTATTAGCCACTCTGCAGCAGAAAAAACAGAACCAGCAGAAGCTATACCAAATCACATCCTCGTTGGTCATAAGAAACTGCCCGTGTGGTCCCCAGGAGTTGAGCTCAACTCGGAGACCTGACCTTCCCTAAAATGAATTTTTTAGTGTACCACATGTCATTTGTGACCAAAGTCAGTAAGATAGGAAACAAAATAGAAAAAAATGTCTCTTACCTCTAACATGCAATTTTCTTACTTTAGTGTCATTGGTGAAAATAGCATGCAGACCTGGTTCTCACCTTTTATTGTGATCTTTACTTTATCACTGTGGTATGAGCAGGTGTACCTTCTATTAATGAAGAAGCAATACGTGCAATAGTATATTTCCCCATCTATCAATGTAGCATCAGTAAAATGAAATAAAGTTTCGTGGTATGCCATCTGAGATCTTCTCACGGGACTAAGTGACTGACTTCTGTACAGAAAGAACTGTACTTCCATGTTCATTTTACTCGTGCAGCTGATGGAAAATGCTTCCCCCAAGGGGACGACGTTGCTGGGTCTCACAGAGATGGAAGGCTTGTAGTCATTTTGTCCTGGGATGGGAAAAAGGGAAAAGAACAAAACTGGAAGGTGGCAAACTCACAACAAAGATTGACTGATTGATTAATTGATTATGTGCTACTGTATTAAGTCAATGTTAACTCTTAGCAGCCACATATAGCCAGGTTCAAATTATCCTACTTCAGATACATTACATGAAAACCTAGCTCTCTGGAAATGTCCATTAATGCTAGGAAAGGTAGAAGGAATGAGAAGAAGAGGACAACCAGCATCAAGGTGGATGGACTCAGTTGCAGTGGTGATGAGTGCACCATCGGAAGACCTGAAGGAGCAGGCTCGGGACAGATTCTATGAAAACCTAGCTCTCTGGAGATGTCCATTAATGCTAGGAAAGGTAGAAGGAATAAGAAGAAGAGGACAACCAGCATCAAGGTGGATGGACTCAGTTGCAGTGGTGATGAGTGCACCATCGGAAGACCTGAAGGAGCAGGCTCGGGACAGATTCTCCTGGAGAAAAATCTATGTGGTCGCTAAGAGTCGGCAAACTCATGACTATATGATCCCATAAAATGGGAAACTGGCATATTGTGAGATGACTACATTTAGTTCACAAGAGAAAGAGTAACAAGAACGTATT